GAAATTCTGGCAAAGGAGTCTGAGGTTGCAGACTTGCAGGGCTCGGGGGTTGAATATAATTTGGAGGCTTGAGGTATTCTGCGTAGCGAATTTCGGTCTGAGGGTTGGGGGTTATAGCGTCGCGGTAATAGGGCTCGAGGGTTGAGAAAATTGGGGTGTGAGGGTCGGGGGTTATAGCTTCGCAGGTTAAAGGCTCGAGGGTTGAGGAAATTGGGGTATGAGGGGCAGGGGTTATACCGCAGCAGGTTAAAGGACTCGAGGGTTAAGGAAATTGGGGTGTGAGGGTCGGGGGTTATACCGCAGCAGGTTAAAGGGCTCGAGGGTTAAGGAAATTGGGGTATGTCGGTCAGGGGTTACAGCGTCGCAGGTTATGGGGCTCTAGGGTTAAGGGAATTGAGATTATAGAGTCATTCTAACGTTAAATTTGGATTCAGTGACCCAAAAAACATATAATTACACTATAACTCCTTATTCGGAAATTCGCCACTATTTCGTGCTGTAACGAAATCGCTAAATCACTCAAATTCAATCTACGACATCTCGTAGGAAAAGAAAGATTTTTTAAATCTGAAAAAAGGATTTTGAAGGGTAAGAGTAGTACTTTCAGACAGCATTACTCGTTTTTTAAAATAAAATTGGCTTACGACGTAATACTACGCGTAATATAGTGAAAAATCGTGTTTTTTGAACTTTTAGGTTAGGATTTCTCGAAAACCTAGGGTGACGGAGCAATTCTGAGGTCAGATTCGGTTTCAGCGCACCAAAAACCTTTGGGAACGTACTGTCTGGTTTCTGGGTTTTTTTCCTTGTCGGCTTATGTTATTCAGGTAGAGAATCGTCAAGACGATCCCTCGTCGGACGGCTTTCTCTTTTAGTTTAAGTAGGCTAAGTCGGTTCGTCGTCATAGCGGTCATCTGCCGGGCGACGCGTGCTCTTCGTCTGTTAGATTTGTAAGCGCGAAAAGTTAGTTAATTTGTTCATTGCATAGGTATTGTACTAGGTGTTAAGAACACCGTTATGTTCATTAGTGTTAAGACGTGTTGCAACATCGTTGTGTTCATTAGGCTAAGAGTTCGTATTATTATACGGTTTATTATTGTACGGTATTTTCGAAGTTTAAGTGTAATTTCAATTTGATTTGATTAGAATTAGATTTGATTTGAATGCAATTTTGTTGTGTGTATAATTCCTTAATTGCTTTCATTTCTTTACCTTTCCGACCCTTTGTTTCCTGCCTTGATTGCTATGAGCGAGTGCGCCTCACTTGCCCATCTTTTAAATTAATAACGAACGAGCTTTCGTTACATCTTCTCAACATACGAGGTCTATCCGGAAAGTACCGCACCTACCTTTATATTTTCGTGTTAGTTTCATTCTTTATCATCTGGTGGGTGGCATCCTTCAAAGTAATCCCCACTTGATTGAATAACATGGTTCCATCGATGTTTCCACTTTTCAAAACAGTCCTGGAACTCACTTTTAAGGATAGCCTTAAGTCCACTCGTCGCATTGTTTTCAACTGTTATTTTGTCATCGAATCGGTGTCCTTTGAGTGGTTTTTTTAGTTTTGGAAACAGACAAAAGTCACAAGGGGCTATGTCAGGACTGTATGGAGGTTGTCGAAGCAATGCGATATTGTGTTTGCTCAAAAACTGCTGTCCAAGATTGGATGAATGCGCTGGTGCATTATCGTGATGGAGAAGACAGTCACCACTTTCCCAAAAGTGCGGCCGTTTTCTTCTTACTGCATCATGCAAACGTTTCAAACTTTGAAGGTAGTATTCTTTATTGATTGTCTGACCTGTTGGTGCATATTCGTGATGTACAACACCTTCACAATAGAAAAAAACAATCAACATTGACTTAACATTGCTCCGACTTTGACGTGCTTTTTTTGGTCTAAATTTTCGGTTGTAATTTCTGAAATGATAGTTTTTGATATCCCAAGGTCTACGACGATCTTGTTCGATTGCAAGTCGCATCCGCTCAATATTATCTGCGGTTTTTGTCGTCGAAGGTCGGCAGGAACGAGAATCACTATCAACAGAAGTGCGACCATCCTTCAACCGTTTATACCAATCTTTTATTCGTGTTTTGCTCATACACTCGCTTTCGAAGGCCTTCTGCATCGTTTCAATAGTTTCCGAACTCGTTTTTCCGAGTTGAAAGCAAATTCGTTGATCTTGTTTTTCAGTCATTTTTGACAATATCAAAATCCGATGAACGCGGAAAAGGCACTGTAAACAAAGACACACTGCGCATGAACTATACGTCCGGCAGGTGTAAGTAAGTATCCAATAGATTCGTGAGGCTTTACTGTTGACGTTTCTGTCCGGTAGAGGTCGCTCGAACACTATGGTGCGAAGATATAAACGTAGGCCCGATACTTTCCGGACAGACCTCGTATGAGGTGTATAATGAGTGTGACTGCTACTCGTTATGTCTCTCTCTCCCATGTCCTAATATGCTTTTGTAAATTAAATGCATATTAACACGTATCACTTAAGTTTCAGCGGGCTCAAGTAAGGTAGATAAGAGAGAGAGAGAGAGAGAGAGAGACGGATTCGATTATCGAACGCGCAGACCGCGAGGAAGGCGCTCGGTTTCTTGATGCGAGAGATTCGGCTGTAAGGTTTTGACGCGAACACACGTGTCCGGCTAGCGATCCAATCTCTTTGTTCTCGATACTCAAGCTTGCGGTGACGTATTCGTCGACGATATCCAGGAGAGGAGAGTGTGGATAGATTGAGGATCTAGGAAGAGATCAAGAGTGTTTTGTGTGTCTTTATGACGGCCTTGTGCCACCGGTGCCTGCCTCTTCGAGGCCTTTTCCTCTTTTGATTGAGCGCTTGCTGCGAAGCTACTTCTACGGGAGAGCGATTTGTAAGTACCGTCGCGCACCTTATCTCTCTCTCAAATTGGCTTCTTGCTCTCTCTCTCTCTGCTTAGCCGCCCTTATGTATAACTTCTTGTTTAATGTAACATCCGTGTTATCGCCAATAAATACTACGTCTATTGTTCTTGCGCGATTTTTTTTAATTCGTTATTCCGTCTATCCTGTCGATCCCTCGAGTTTCGCGTTTAGGCGTGCAGGTCTAGCGCCTCGACCTAATATTGGAGCCACGACGCTCCGACAACACCTGGTGGACAGGCGTCTCAGGAAGAAGACAACCCGAGCCATTCAGCCTAACCGAGCCCGGATTCTTCTCAATCCCCGTTACAGGTGGTACGAGTATGTACGCACAGGATGACCGAGTGTAGGAAGGAAGTGTTCTTGAGCTTGCTCAAAGCTTCGAGAGCGACCGAGCAAGTCACGTACATAATATATATTTGTAAACGCGTATAATTGAGTTAAATTTAGTTCGGACGTGAACAAGCGATAGTCGGAAAAAGTATTATTAAATTGACTTTTTAATTAAAGATGACTAATTGCCTTGTCATCGAATGTGTTTCTATTTCTCTAAAATTCTAACCCGCTGTAAAGAACATCATGTCATAAATTCACTGCCAATATATGCCTATTCTTGCCGCCAGCTACTATAATTCTTTTTTAATAGAAATTATTTTTATTCAAAAGCCCTAAATCATATGCATAACAATCAGACTTTCGGCATTCTAATATTATTAATTAAAAAGTAATTCGATTTCGCTCTTTCCCAAAGAATTGTGTGAAAGGGCTGACAGCGATGTTCGCTAACCCTGTGCGTGGCACTCTCCTCGCACGGATGTAGCGGCCGAGCGTGGCTATGATTGACATAGCATTCATGCGCTCGTGTCGTTGCAGGGCCTGGAGAGGAGAGAGCGCGGCCGGCGGAGAAGACGGCGCAAGGGAGAGCGAAAGCGAGAAGAGTGTGTGTGAGAGAGAGAGAGGAAGAAGAATAAGCGAAAACATGGAAGACGCTGTTCGCGCCGCAAGACGAAGGCAGAGCGAAACGAAGAAGTATTGACGAGCAGTTGAGGAGTGATAACTGACTAATCAGGTCACGGCCTAGAATATAGATTGACGGTGCACCGGCTGAAAGTGAACAAGCCAAGGATCATTGAGTGGAGTCTTCTGTATGGCAAATCTCCGGCTGCTTTGAGCATCCTTAACAGCTAGCATCATTCGATGATCCAGCTGGAGATCCCGGCCACCAGCAGCCAACCAGCCACAATCCGGTGATCCAGCGAGACCTACTGCCTGCGGGACTGCGATTCCGCAGACGACGACTCTTCATCAGCGAGCCGCAGGAGAGGCTATCCGGTGGATCCAATTTCAGTATTTGTTTCGCGGACTCTCTCTCTCTCGCACTAGCTCTCGCCTGGCGCAACGCCGTGAACTGATTCGTTGCGTACATTAATTGAGTGAATCCGCTCCTAAATATTATCGACTCATCGCGTACATTAGTTGAGCGAATACGATCCTAACCGCCACCTACTGTCGCGTTTTCATGGTTCGAGCGTGCGCTCTCACCATCTTGGTTTGTAAGAAACTGTGCATGTACTATTTCGATGGAGTAAATAAAGGTATCGCCTTTTGTAGTTCTTTCGATTTCCTCTCTTCACCTTCCCTGTCATCGCGGTAGATTTGCACCTGTGGAAGTCAGCACCGGCTTCCTTTACCGAAACAGAACCCGTCATAATTCGCAGGGGGCACAGCAGTGGCGCATTCAGCTGTGATTGTAAGAATATTTCCTCCCCCTTTGCAATTGAATAAACCGAGACATTTTCGTTTAATTTTTAATTATTATTTTGTTTATAGTACATTGACCATTATTATAGTTATTATTTATTCATAAATAGGAAAATTTCATATATTTTTATTTTATAAATTACTATAATATGTCATTTAAATCTAATAAAAAAATTAGCTCTTTCGATTGCTGCGAACGCTAAACCATAAAGTAAATCGCAACATTGAGTCTGTACTTTTATATCGTATTTATAGACTATAGCTCACATGGTTTTATTTAATATTTTTGTCTCTTTACTCTCTGTACATTTGCTTTGGAAAAACTTACCACCATGTAAGCGTCTCCTATAGTTTCCACTTTATATACATCATAGCCTTTGATAATACGATCGAACAGAGTGTAAAGGTCATTTAAAAAATTCACCACCTAAAATTAGAACATATTCAGTTTAAATATGTTAATCAGTTATAAAATATTTGAAAAACTAAGTTTAATTGATATAAATAAACTTACTTGAAACGGTGTACTTTCAGCGGACAGGACTGTAAAACCAACAATATCACTGAAGTAGATAGTAACGAAATCAAATGCTTCAGGCTCTACGCCAATGCCGTTTGTTAAACAGTTAGCTACAGGTCTGTAAAAAAAGAAATTAGCTTTAAAGTAGAAATCTTTTCTCTACTATTTTCAGTGTTATAATCATAAGAATTATTAAGAAAAGAATAAAAAAATATATGTGACTTTCAATAATAAAAACTACTATTGTTGTTCGATAATTTAATATAAAGTTATTGCTTTATATTTCCAGACTCGCTAAAGTGTAGATAATTTGTTTAGCTTATTAACTTAACCCTTTCTATAAAAAAGCGATGAAGCAAATTGATGCGTCCACATCATAACATATATGGTCATTGTTTATTTAAAAATACTAGTAATTGAATAACATGAACTACAAATATCCCTGCTATTATAAATCAAATGTTTTATTTAATTTTTGTTATCACTGTTCTTATAAACATGTATCAGAATCCCTTTTTAAAATTACGTGGAATATGAAAAATGATGACCATTTATTTGTGATCGACTTGACTCGAAGTTAGTTTGATAATATGCTGTTATGTATTGGTAAAATGAATGAAAATGAGTATTATAACGAGTCGCATTCTCGTTATGTCTCTCTCTCCCTGCAGCCAGTTTGTTTATTAATCATATTTATACTTTATCATGCATTATAATAATTTGTAATTTGTAGCGCAGTTGAAATGTCAGCGAACAAGGTAAGAGTCGAGTCCTACGATCTATACTATCGATAGTCCCTAGCGCGGATGTCGCGGAGAGACCGCGATCGCGAAGGGAAGAGAGAAGGAGAGCGCGCAATGAGTCAGTTGGCATGTGAGCCGAAACAAGTACGGACGCTAGCATAGTTTGACAGTAACATCTTTTCTTTTGCGTTACGAGAGATCTCGAAGGAGTAAGCGAGTACGCAGTGGCGATTATACGAGTCCAAAGATCGCCATCGATAAGCGAAGGCGCATAGCTGATGTTGACAGGAATTCCGTCAGCTATAAGGCTAGGAAGCGAGAACGCCCGCGTGAGTGTAGGACAGGATTAAGCGTGGTCGCGATCTACTGTTCGTGCGTTGCTGCCGTTCTAATAACCGACGACAACTACTGTAAGTACCTACTTGATTCTCTCTCTCTCTTAGGCTCTCTCTCTCATATTGCTTGCTAACTGCATTTGTCACTTTAGTTTTTCGCCCGACTTACGCACTCTGTCATTTTGTTCGGCATTGCGTCTTGCCTCGAGCCGCTTTAAGCGAATTCGTTGTCCGATCTTGTTCGGTTGCTTTTGGCATCGACTCATAACTGTAGACGAAACATGGGTACACCACTATACTCCTGAAACCAAAGAACAGTCCAAACAATGGATTATCGCAGGAGAATCAGCCCCAAAGAAGGCAAAGACAGTAAAGTCAGCTGGCAAGATCATGGCCACAGTTTTCTGGGATGCGTATGGAATTATCTACATCAACTACTTGGAAACGGGCCAGACGATCACTATACACTATTATGCGTCATTATTAGGTTAGCTGAAAGAAAAAATCAGAGAAAAACGTCCTCACTTGAACAAAAAAAAATGCCTCTTTATTCAAGACAATGCTCGAGTTCACATGTGTGCAGTTTCGACGGCAATAATTAACGGTTTAAAGTTCGAATTAATTGACCATCTACCATATTTGCCTAATTTGGCTCCCAGTGACTTTTTCTTATTTCGGAACCTCAAAAAATGGCTTGCCGGACAACGATTCACGTCGAATGAAGAAGTCATCGCCGAAACAAATGCCTATTTTGATGGTTTTCAGAAAACATATTTTTCTGATGGCTTAAGAAAACTGAAAGGCCGTTTAATAAAATGTATCGACCTTCAAAGAGATTATGTTGAAAAATAAAAAAAAATTATATACGCAAAACTTTTTTTTCCTTCGTTTTGTAAAGACGTATTGACCCCCCTCGTATGAGCGAGTGCGCTTCACTTGCCCACCTTTAAAGAATTGGTAACATAGTATAAGATCGTTACCTATCTATAAGTAGAGTGACGCCACGCTCCTTATATAGTCATGAAATTTGACTCTAGCACTAATACAATCATATAATATGTGATGTGGCGCTGTTTAATGTACTAATTGATGTAAGTACATTCACGAGTTTAGCGGGTTGCAGTAATCCAGTGAAAATAAGAGAAGAGCTCATAGATAGGACTGTTACATGGTATTGCGAAAATTTCAGTGCGCCAAATATATAAGCGCGATTAACTGTTCGGGTGCATTTCTACAAATCCGTCTTATGGAGAAATCGATACCCATAACAGCTTTCACTATTCCAGGACTTTGCCTTTTAGAATTTGTTCGAATGTCATATGGTTTAATAGATGGCCTAGTAACATTTCAGATGTTAGCTGACAAGCTTATCATACCCAAAATGGAATCATATGCTTTTGCATCCATAGACGATCTGATAATTGCTACCAAAACTTTTCAAGAGCACATCAGGTGGCTTAAGGTTATTTTAAACAAAGTTAACAAGATTGGCTTGACCCATAGAGAGTTCGTTCAATCCTTGAATATCTAGCCCCGAAAAATATCAATCAATTACGTAGATACTTAGGTATGACGTCCTGATATCGAAAGTTTCGAGTTATGGCGGTTACGAATCAGAATGTCAAATAGCTTTAGACAGACAAGCAGAAAATAGCCATCTATGAAGATGTGGCGCAATACGTGTGAAATTGCCAACAATACTAACAAATAAAGATGAAACAGTTATCTCATGAAGGACTAATAGGATGACACCTAAAGCTACTCAAGACCATCAATGACTAAATAACATGCAAGTATCCTCGAAAGAAGGCGAAAGATTAAAGTTGGATCAATCGACGAAAATGGATAGTGTTTTTCCTCTTCAATATGACGAGAAGGTCGCGAAATTGATTTTTCCGAGCAAAAACCCAAACTACGTTATATAGTTTAATGAAGTTACTCAAAGCAGCCTAATACAAGTCTAATAAATCAAGAGAATCTGAATAATATTGAAAAATTTTCGAAAAATCTAGCGTACATAGTAAAAGAATGACTACAGATGAGCCTTTAAAAGCTCATAAAAGTCACAACTTTAGTAATATTATTGGTACATTACATAATATGACTAAAACACCTAACACAGGAGAAAAAAAGTTGAAAATTGGTGCATCTTTACCTAGTTACAAAATTGTATGAAACAATATTATTATAGAATGTGTGTAGTGGGATGATCTAAATGATCTGGTTGATTGTCTTCAATTACTTGTAGCTGAACAATCAGCCGGTAACAGTAGTCATATAAACGAAATTCATTCGATAATTCAAAAATTACGCAAGGGTGAATGTGTGTATATATATGTGTGTGTGTGAGTGTGTGTGTTTGTGCACGTGTGTGTTTTTTTTTTATTTTTTTTTTGTAAGAGAGTTGGAGAATGCTTTATGCACGATAGCGACCGTCAGGCTCGTCCTGTGTGGAAGTCTCCTAAGCATGGTATACCCACTAAACTCCCATCTCTCTGTGTCCAGCCTGTATCCCCCGTGGAAACTGCCGCTAGGCATTACTTCGCGGGGGGGCTTCTGCTGTGTCAGCCTTGTCTCCATAGTTATTCGTCGTATTTGTCAATTTCTTCTGTCTTCATCGTCTTCGGCTAGAGCAGCCTCGTCATCTTCTTTTGGCGTCGTTAATTTCGTCTACTTCTTTCGGCATCGTTAATTTCGTCTACTTCTTTCGGCATCGTCCGGTCTTCTTCTTCTATCGGCATCGTCCGGTTATCCTCTAGACAGACTCTACCTCGAGACCTATGTTCCTCTGTATCGGGTGAGGGAGTCTGAGCTCGACCCAGTGTCCCTTGCTCTCCCGCAAAGGCAGGGGAGCACTTAGGATAGGCTGGCGCCTTGTTATCCTATGGACACAGGTGATTCCTCTGCATCGGATGGGGTACCTGCGCTCTACCAACTACTCTGTGGCAGTTTAGGAGCGCTTTCTAGTCCCATAGTCTGGCACTTCGTTCTATCTATGCATGATAGACCTGTCGCATCTTCTCTCTTCATCTTTTCTTGTGTCAGTCAGCCGGTTTACCACTGATGTGACGAAGGTCACTACCGTTTCCCATCCTTCTGGCGAGCCAAGCAGGCAAGTTCCGAGCCCTTCGGGACTTATTGGGTCATTCCTCTCCGTGTGGAAATGCATCCACTCTTCAGCGAAGCGGGGACACACAAATAAGACATGTTCTACGTCCTCGTTCATGCCTGGACAGGCTGGGCATTCGGCACTCGTATAGATACTGATGCGGTGGAAATAACTGCGGAAGCAGCCATGACCGGTGAGCACCTGTGTCAGTTGGTAAGTGAGGTGTCCGTGGCTCCTGCCTGTCCACTTGTCAATGTCCGGGATAATGCGATGAGTCCAGCGATCTTTTATTGCATTGTCCCATCTTCTCTGCCATTCTCGCATTAGATTTTGCGTCCATCTTTTGCTTTGGACATGTCTATCAGCATGATTCTCCTCGGTTCGCCCTCCTTCACGGTATTTTTCTGCTCTGTCGCATGCTAATAGGTCGATAGACGCTATCCCGGCGATTACCGAGACTGCTATGTCCGATACCGTTCGGTATGCACGGGCAACTCGTAGCACTGCTATTCTGCAGGCTCTTCGACACGGCCCTCCGTAGCTTGCATTATTCCTTAATGCATCCGCCCATATAGGAGCTCCGTAGAGGATTACCGAGCTTACCACCGACGATAGAAGGGTTCTGCGCGGTTGCTTTGGCCCCCCAACGTTTGGCATAATACCTGCTAACGCCCTAGCAACGTTTGCGGCTTTGACACCTGTTTTTGATAGGTGGTCCTTGAAGGATAGTCGCGCATCTAAGATGACTCCAAGGTACTTCACCGTGTTCACCGTCTGCACTCGTTTATTTTCCACCGTGAAGGTGGCGTACGTTCGGGCTTTCGTGCGGGAGATGAGCACCGCCTCCGTCTTTTCCGCCGCCAAACTCAACCCGTGTTCTCTTAGCCATCGAGCAACCACCTCGATTGAGATGTCTCCCAGGTACTCTGTC